CATTAACCCCTTGTTCCTTTCGGTGTGTTCACGACAGACAGCAAGCGGATTCAGCTTCAAACGGTGACTTGGGGGCAGGCGAGGTTGAGAATCGAATGCGTTGACCACTTCGGTCATTTAAACTGGCTATCCCTGGCGTTCCGCTGGATATTGACAAAACATGATGTACCACTCTTGTTTAGACGATCTTTGGATACATCGAAATTCACCAGACAGTAATGGAATCGCTTGATAGATAAATTATTCGCCTAGTCTTCCACAGACTGAGCCAAATATTTGCGTTTGCTGCTTATGGAGTCGGTTAACTAAAATGGTTGGTAAGCACTGCTAACAAGGTTGGAAAGAGGTCAAGTGCAGCCGAACTAAAACCTAGCATGAGGGGACGAAAACCCTAACCAGGTCACTGGGTCACATACGTCGCATTAGGCTCTCTGGATGGGAACCCCGGGACTATGGTAACCGGTGGTTACCAGAACGGAGTGCTATGTTTGGGGTGGCAAACAGTGGCTCTCGTGCATCTACTCATTCTATGTTTGCACCCCCAGTCNATCTTTACTTTGACCAAGCTTTCAACATTCCCCCCTTGATTCTACTCTTTTATCTAAATGCAACCAAAAGACAGGAATCAAAACCGACGCGTGAAAATGCATTGTTAACAGCTGTTAAATCTGAACTGAACTGGAACTGTTAACACGAGAGTGAGGCAGCCGTATGATGTTCACGAAGTTACTCAGTGAAGAGTGATAGGTAGAATTTGCAGGATGAGCACAGTGTAGGAAACTTTACGAGCGGTTCAGATGGAAATTACGGTAGTCCTGTGTTCACTGATTAACGCCACAGAAGCAAAAGACCGAGAAAGTAATTGATTGTCTGTTTGAGAACGGATGCATAAACGACTGCAGATTACTCCAAGTGTCTCGTACATTCCGTTCTATCATTTATACCAAGAATAGTGTTTAATAACAACATTCGCTTCGCCCGGCTATAATAACTGATGTTTACCAGGTGGTGCTGGTTGTGTCATATAATCCAAAATCCAATTTTCAACGTGAAGTTGGATTCATTCCGATATGAGCTTTAATGGTTCGTATATGTGTATCACTTAGTGAGTCACTACTACGCTACATACCGGAGGATTCCGGCTCTACATGATTCATCTCCTCTGTGGTCTCATCCATATCCAAATTAGGACGACAAGATCTAGTAAAATAGTGTATCGTTCGGCTACACACACCCCGCCTCTATTCATTGTTTCACGTAAACATATTCACCGTATGCACATGCTCATTTGAACGGAAGCAGGAATGGAAAATCGATAATGACCTTGTGTGTGACGGAACACATTCGGTTTACGGCCCCCGCGCAGACAGGCAAACTTGACCAATAATGTCAATCGTAGTGGACGACCAAACCCGTCATGCATTTTTATTGGTTCACACAAGGTCACACGAGGTGCTTTTATGCAAGTGAATATGCTACGTGCATCCAGTCAGATTGCGAACTGCCGGGTTGGGCTATTGAGGAGACAACCGATCCGCTAAAATATGTCTGGTCCAAGTAATTGTTTATGGTCCGGATCCAACGGGGTCAGCCTGATACAACCGGAATTGGGTTTTGACGGGATCCTGCGTACAATTAGTGATCATTCAATACACGAGGTGGGTTATTGATACTTGAGAATGATTTGTTCAAATATAATAACCATGTAAACGCCGAACCGTTTCTTCCCAAGTGTTGGATGATGATAGTCAAAGTCAAAGTCAAAGTTTTATAATGGGAATAGCTTACAAGCTGGTGCTTCTCTTGTCCCATAGGATATTTACACAGATACTTGGAGTATAACCGGTTATATTGCTTGTTCAAACTTGTTGCACTGGTGATAATGTTTTGACATATTATATACTGTATTCCATTTCCTGTTTATTGTTTTCTATTTCAGGTGAAATAAAGATGACTTTTCGGTTTAGACGACCGAGCTAGATTATGTTCGAAAATGGTGATTAGTTTTGTAGATTAATGAGCAAGACGTTTTACTTCCTTCTTCTTACTATTATTATAAATTGGATATATAATAATAACCAATTGTCCGAAGGAGTGCGATATTCACTTAGAGGGCATACGTATCTACCACAAGTGGTCGAACTTGACCGAATGTGGTACAGAATGGGGACGAGCGACCGACTCATCGGGACCCAATGATCTACGTACAAAATATCACAAAATTTGTTGATTTACAAGTATTTAGGGGTTTTTCACTATTGAAATCCACAAAACCTTAATCAGATTGTAATTTCTATCCACAGGACCGGATCATACAGAATGATCTCGTCTACGAAAGTGAGTTCAATTTTTGTTCTTCTGTATATATTCAAGTGACGTAATTTGGCCTGATGAATGAACTTGCCTAAAATGAAGTTGATTCAATATATTCCCGAACAGTAATTAATATATTGTATAAAGGGAAATCTATATTAGTGGGGTTTATGACTGAAGTGATCAAAACTGAATGAAAAATTGATTTTTGACAAACTAATTTTTCAGTTTAAATGGCTTTTGGTAATGCAGTCATGATTGTCGTTAGTGTTGCTGTAATAGACGTAGATGCTAATGAATAGGATGCGAGGTTGACAGTTTAACTGTTCCGTCACACTGGATGTTCTATGCTAACAAACCAAACATTCTAGGTGTAGCATGAATGGGAATTTTTGAGAATCACACCACTTCAGGGAGCATAAGGTGGCAATTAGGGTTTTCAATTTTAGTGCGTATCGTCCAAAATGTGTACATCTCGTATTCTCTTCATTCACTTTTCAGATATTTTGCCTAAACGAGTGACTGCCGTCCGCGTAAGTTTACGATATGTAACCCGCTCTCTCTGTCTCTCTCTTTGTGTAAGATACTGTTTATTCTGTAGTTTTTGAAACCGAACTGACGTCCTCCCTCGAGGCGAAAGCGCAGATAGGTAACCCGTACTATCACAATTATGCAAGGATAAAATTGCTGATAGATTTATTCTGCTCATCTTTACGATGGACAGTACAAATAACGACATTCGGTTGTTTGGGCCCACCTTGTAAGCCCTGGTTTCGGGATTCACTGGCTACGAAAAAAAATGTGTTGGGTTAAATGTGATATGTGGTCGAATGAACACGGCAATGCGTTCCCTTGGAGTGGTTTGAATTTCGAGCCATGCAGCATAGTACACACCACTCAAACATCAGCACCATGACAACAACAACAACTTTATGTTCGTTACCCAACCTGACATAGAAAGTCAAAACACCTTATTACACTCCTATTATTAGCTGATCACAGATTCATAGATCCCGCGGATTATATGTTGCGGCATTTTACATACATAGTTAGTAAAGTGTTTGATGAAGTATAGCTTGCATAGTGTAGGTCATTCAGCGAATCTTAGCTTCAGTAAACTCCCAACACATGAAGGAGGCACTTCGTTTTATGTACATCCACGAAAAAATAGAAGCGGATTGACAACATTAGCAACCACCTCAACCATCTACTAAGCTTGTTTACATTAAAATGAACATTTGGTAAAATTTTGATTTTCCTTGTTCTCTTCACCCTTGAATGACCCATCATTATTAATTAATTAATCGTTTTATGCTTGGAATGCGTACAGTCAGCCGTTCCGATGCAGTCACATATGGTTGAAGTGGAGGAGGAGGATGAGGGAGACGGCGACACTCGACCAGTTCCGGGGACCGGAATGTTTGACGATCGTTTCCAGTCAGATGTGCAATCGTTATCCACACAAAGTGATGCTTCACCNATGCTCACAGTGAGTTATTTTATGTTTTCCAAATTTATATATGAAGTGTTCATGTGATCATTATGTCGTTCTGTTAGTTTGCAGGGCCGATTTCCTAATTTTAATTTAGGACTTATCCTCAACACGACATTCAATGGGTTTCGTTCTGTGATACTTTCAGATGCATAGCTTTTGTAGCGTAAATTTCTTCTTCTCTTTTGACTGTCCACAATCAACCAGTAAGTAGCCATTCGACGTTCTACAACTGTTTTATATAAATGTCTGACTTTATCGAAGTATCAGCTTTCTTTCCATTCGCCGCTCCAGTCCTCAATCATTTTGATGATTACTAACCTATCAAAACACGGAGAAATTATATTGCCCATATATGGTACTGATAACAACAGTTTTAAGACCACTTTATTGAGCGTTTTAAACTTATTGAAATCAGACGAAATCGATCATCAGTATACACAATGCTTGAATTGTGTTGCATGTTCTAGTAAAGTACATCAAATTAGATAGGGACGTAAGAGATTCTTTTTGTTCAACCTCAAAATTGTTGCGGTTCTTCGGAATTATTCAAGATATGCCAAAATAGTTCGTCAATGCAGTCATCAGGTTGAATCGATTTTGCACATTTGGGCAAACGGATTGGTGGGAGAGACTTCATCACTCGTCTCCCTATCTGTCTCTCTCGCATTCCAGTTCGATTCACTCTTGGATGAAGAGGACCGGCGCCGAGCGGCTTCAAAGAATGATGTGCCTCAGAGATCGAATTCCAATACTGTGAATTCTAGTGATCAAAGTGAGTCTCCGATTTATCCGTAAAATCAGCTATATTCCTTGATTGAATAGAATAATAGTGTTCACATTCTAATTTGCTAGTACATTGATAAAATCTAGCTGGTGGCATTATTAGATATTCTTAGGATTTATATTTTGGTCAGAACTGTGTGGAAATATCCATCCCTAATCGATGAACTGAGGATTATGCATGAAGGTGAAGTCCGAAGGATAGTCAGCTTAAATAAATAAACCCAATTATCCGACACCACTACTCACAAATAATTGAGTCAAATACGAAATATTAATTGTGTCTTGTAGGTTGGTTGGCGAATCAGAAACCGTACCTGCATGGAAGTCCTGACTTAGTGGGAGGCTTTCGATTGGAGTAAACAGTATGTCATCTGTGTTTCGTTTCGTTGCAGTTGGGCCAAACGAACTGACTATCACTGAAGACGACACCTGAACAAACATGAACTGGCGATTTGGTTCATCCATGGCGTGGGCTGGTTGGCACAGTGGTTACACACACGCCTTCCATGTGATGAGTCCGGAGTTGAAATTCCGGACAGGACGGTAGATATGCACTACTGATGAGCTCCAATAAGAGAAAACATCCAGTATAGTGCTTCCCAGTGTGTGATTGAATCGATGAACTGAGGATTGTGCGTGAAGGTGAAGTCCGCAGGATAGTCAGCTCAAATTATTAAATCCAATTATCCCAAACCACTATGAAACATCTCTAACCAGTCCGATACGGTTCAGTGTTACACTTAAAATTTGCTCCTTCGTGTGTTTCTCAAATCGAAGTTCAGAAATGCAAGCTTTATCTTGCATTCGGGAGTGGGGGAGGGTGTCTCTAAAAGTTATCTGATCTCTCATTTTCTTTAAGCTGTTCTATAGGCTTATATAAGCTATATAAATGTTTGAAAAGATAAACGATATCATCACTCAGATACCCAGGAGTAGTGAGAACTTCTCAAGTTGGTATTACTCGATAATAAGGATAAGGGAAGGGCTAGCTCAGGGAGGCGAATCACACTGGGTAGCTACCATAGCATATGATACGGGCAAGGTAACTTACCAATCCATGAAGAGAAAACACATAGGATTGAAATGTATCCCCTGAATCGCCGGTTTTTAACCATAGTAATTGAAGCAGTTTTTCTGCTGATAAATAAACTTCATGGGTATAACCAACATACTGTGATTTGTCACCCAACCTGCAGAACTTCATGTTGTTTCCCAACCTGCATGGTCCAATTCAAGTCGTGTAAATCCTGCACCGCTTTAAATGGCTTCTTGTTTATTCGGTGATATACAACTTTGGTTTCATCCGACGAAGTGCCACACCTAACCTAGCAGGTCCATACGGGTTTCGTAACTCCAAGTTCCGGGTGTCTGAGCCGCCATTGAGCAAAGTGGAAGCGCAGTTTGTGTGCCGAAAAACTTCTACTGTTTTTTGATCCTGTCTAACCAGTCAATAAACTTTGAGTGGAGAGTGTAAGCTGTGGTTGTATTTCACCAATCTCATTGATGCCATTCAGTCAATCTTTATAGCACATCTGCCGAATATTTTCCTTCCTAATGCGCATAAGAACTGTGATAATAGCGGTGATACTAATCATGTAAAGTACCAGTGTAGCTGATTGGATTCATTTGCATTTCGGGTAGGCGTTCGTTCGGCTTCACCAGCTATTTCTTCATATGCAACAAGCAAAAAGAAAACAACCACGAATGAGAAGCAATCCGATTATTCACGTTGTTGTTGTTGTTTTCGTTGTTTTTGTCGTTTCAGATTTTTCCTACGTTTTATCTGAAAAACAATTTAAAACAATAATGGGTCTTTAATTGATCAGAAAGTGTGGTTTATTCCCACATCCCGGTTTGGCTGCAAATCGTGTGCCCCGAATTGCATGTAATTGGCCAATTCGTTTCACCACCTGTTATATTGTGCCACACGTGTGGATTGCATCCCGGTTCTTGAATCTATGCTGAGCTTGGTCCCCACCCCACCGCACCCCATGCTTGGGCGTAGAATGTGCAATGTCTGATGCACATATATATTTATATCTGTAGTGCACAGGTTTTGCTTTGCTGTGCCACAGACTGTTTAAAGCCACTAACCGTGCATTATCAAGCAACGAATCTTGCTGTTGCTGCTGCTTCTGCTGCCGCTCTCAGCCCAATTGGCCAAAAAAAGCAGATAAACTTAAATGCCTTTTTTCACGTCTCTCATCTGAGATCGTTTCGCTTGTACAAAGAACACATTCCAAACGCGCTCAATTCGAGTAATCCCTTTCGTGCTGATTAACTTGTATATATTCATTTTATTTGATCGAGTAAAAAGAAAAAGAAAACAACGATGTTTTTGAAGAATTATTTTATAGTCGGATGTGAAAATTTAGAAAACAAATTTTCAGTTCAAACGCTTGGTATACTTACACCTACACAGAGATAATGAGAACTATCGGGAGCATATAACACGAATGTGTAAATTAACTTCACGTTACAGATAATCATTACAATGATTCAATAAAAATGACATTGTCACAATCACTGTCGTGATAACAAGAATAATTCTTATTTTCATCCTAGTCATAATCATTCCAGTCATCATCATCATCATTTTGCTCGTTATCCTTGATATTTTTCTTATCGTTGATGAAGTCCTTACAGTGGACGTCGTGATAGTGGTAGATGGATCCGTTACTTTCAGCTTCATCTACATTGTAATTGGCAATAGGAACACGGGACGAAACCAATTTGACATAATGACTAAGAATGAAAGAACTATGGGGAGCGAATAGAGAGGTGGCACCCACACGTCCTCGTTTACATGTAATGCGTGAGATGATACTTTGGAGAAAAAGCTTGAATGCGGCGGTGAATATTGCTTCTTTTTATTGGATTTTAAAAATGATTATTCGCTTTATAGCTGTTTGCCGCACTGGTCCTAAACGTTTTCTAATAAAAACAATGGGAAGTGATGTGAAACAAAGGAGAAATGGGTCAGACTTTGGTAAACACGGTCACCGTGGTATTTTGTCCCAGTCATCCATCTCCCTTCCTAAGATGTTTGTAGCATAAGCCCATCCGGTAAACGTCCATATTCAACGGACCATTGGTTGTTTGAAATAAACTGCTGCTCTCGGTTAGCTGAAGTTTGGGTAACGTTTTCAGGTTCCTGTGTTATGAAACACTTGATGTTTAAACAGCCAGGGCTATATCCACTTTCATTGTCCTAAAGTCTCTTTATATCTGCTTTGTCTGTTATGCACCTAAGATCCGTATTCATTACTTCCGAAACACAACTCTCAGCCAGCTTGACTAAATGCTCTTGAATGGTGTAGCTCTTTGGGTTCAGGGGTTTTAGCATAGGGATGTTGCAATCGACCGTATATTCTCAATGCTGTTGAGATGAAGAAACTTGATTAGGTTGTTTTATTTCTGCGGTGTGCATTGGAGTCGCGACAGAAAGAGCGCATTAAGCGAGAAAGGACAAACTTTCCCCCTTCTCTGTATTTGGCTTATCAGTTGAGTTCAAAATCCTCATCGGTCCAAACCCTTCCGGTAGGCAAAGGTTAGATAAATGCGGTCACTGATCAAATTTGTTCCATAATTGACATAGTAAGGGTAAGCCCACATGGAACATAGTTTTAGGCTGCACGGTTTCAGTTTCGTGTTCCACATGGACTCAAAGGAATCCCAGAATGCAACTGTAATGACGCTCAAATTCGTCACAGCTCCAGTTAGGCGTACCTCGTTCAATGGGTGTTCACCAAACTACAAAGAAATGAATCCACTATAGTTGACAGCACTTCAGAATTCCATGTGAAGGATCATTAACGGTCAGTTACATTACACTAACGTAGAGGATATATCAGCCGGTGTCGTTCAGAAGGAAACAAATTGTTCGTGGTACTGCACTACATGCAACGTTAGTTTGGCAAGTGATATTATTACGGGAACAGGAAAAAATGTCGGTGTTGGAACAGCGCTGTCTACGCCACACTGTACGAATCTGGTGCTGAAAACCGGATAAACAATACTGAGGTAAGGCGTACAGTTTTAGCTAATCGCGGTTGTCCATTGCACTCGTTGAACCATGTGTTGCATATGCCACCAAAGAGATTTCCGCTGCACCCTGTTTGCCGAGGCTGATAGTGGATGGAAAAAGAGTTAGGGTGATTAAACTAAAGCCTGGTATGAGGGTCTGAAAACACTAACCAGGCCACTGGCCCACATAAGCTGCGTTAGTCTATCCGGATGAAGACTCCGAGATCAAAATGACCGGTGGTTACCGGTATTAAGTGATCTGGTTGGTGTGGCAAACAGTGGCGCTCGTGCATCTACTCACTTTGCTTGCAGCTCAGTCTGTAGGAATTCCCTAGCTTCACCTTGACTCTGCTCTCAACATTCCAATCTTCATTCTACTTTTTTATTTAAACCGGTACCCAAAAGACAGCAACCAAAACCGGGGCATAAAAATGCATGGTCAACGGTTGTTAAAACTGAAAATGAGCTGTTCAGGATCGAACATTGAACAATGTGCATGATGGGCCTCTGTTTTGACGGAATATCTGACCCGTAGAAATGATGGAAAATCAAAATTGCTGATGTTGCTGCCAGAGGTGCTGTTGTTCAATCAATTAACGATGGTACTCCTGTTACGTACGTGAGTTAAGAAAGTTAAGACGCGATCCTCGTAAAATACCTTGTCATTTGCTGTTGCTGCTCACATATCGAGTCCATCTCTTAAATGTCCATCGAATCCACATAGAACGAACCAAAAAGAATACGAAAATATTTGAAGTTTTAGCATAGAGCCGCTGCAGCAGAAATCCGAGTTTGAATAACTTTTTGGGGCATTCATGACTGGGTTGGATCACATACGAATTTGCAGTCGTAGTGTATATAATAGGTTCTGTTGCTCCTTTCGGCATGCGCTTTGTACCTTTAAATTGCATAGTGATGCTGTAAGATTTGATGTCGTCGAATAAAGTTCTGCAACTAGATCGGCCGGAATTAGCTGAACTTGACTG